ATGTGATTAAATCTGGCAACACAAAATTTTGTAGTAAAAACTCAAAATGTTTTCTTGTGAAAGTTTCAAACTTTCCTAAATTATTTTCCAGTTTTAAATCATTGTTTAAATCAACTAAGAACCTAATTCACTGGAAATCCAGTCGGTTTGTCACTGACCAGGAACTCTCACTGTTTATGCAGATTTGGTTGATGATTTTTATTTGTTTTCACTTCTTCATTCTGTGAATTATTATTTTTTTTAAGAGCAGGCTTCTTTCTCCTCTTATGCTTTAATTGTATTGAATGATTTTTAATTCTATAGAGATTTTTTTCCAAAGTGCAGATTAGAAGCAAAGGCCTATATCTACAAAGAAGCAACTTGCAGCTAACAACCTTTGTAGGTAATGAATCATGAAAACTGGTAAGCAGGAGTGCTAGTCCCAGGGCCCACCATATCTTGAGGAAGGGTGAATAAGTGAAGCAATTGAAAATGCAGGAGGTGGGACCCTTCTCTCTCCTTCCTCCTGACCCCAGGTCTTACTTCTTGCTGGCCAAGTTGAGGTGGGCACCTATCTTAGAGGGGATTCAGCTCTGACCCCAGGATGCTGCTTTGGCTCATGTGGTTGCATACTCTTCTCATAAGAAAACTGGGAAAACTGCTAGTATAGAATCTTACATTTGGGCTGCCCAAAGTGACATATCTGCGCAGTAAAATGAAAAGTATCCCTAGGGAAATAAGTTCAATTCAGCTGAATGGAGACACTGAGGATTTACCATGATGTTCACAAACAGGAATTGCTGCTGAAATCAGTGCTTTAAGATAGCTGTGTGGAAAGGAGGACTACTCTTTTCCATTCCCAGCTATGTTGCTATATTTCAGAACCACTTTGGGTCAAAATCCTGTGTCAGACTGGAATTTCATCTTTCCAAGATGCCTCTGTCTTATTCTATCATATGCAGAAGGCTTTTACGAGTTGCCCCAGTAATGTTCTACCAAGTCATTGGCAGGGACATGTGTTGACCACACTACTACGTGAAAAGGTAGAGCTGTTACTTAAGGCAAGTTTACTCAGACCATAATCTATGTTCTGTCTTCTAATGAACGCTGGCTCATGCCAAATTTTTTCTTTCTTCTCTAAGACCCACTGTTACTCTGGAAACAAGCACCAGTAAATGCTTATTTAAGCTTTTGGTAATCAGTCACCTGGCTACTAATAATTCTTTTGTTTTTACATTGGCCAGGAGACCCTTAACAAATCCAACAGAGTTTTGTCTGTTTTTTCATTGAACTAAAAACGTAGATTAATAGCACAATATGAATGGAATAATTGTCTGTCATCTAAATTCTATGCCATACCCTTTGATGTGATATTGATATAAGCTACCTCATCTCTTTATGGAGAAGACGTTGTAGAAATGCAGCTTAGTCGTGTCATTTCTGTGGTATTCTCAGGACATAGACTCTGTAACTGACTTGTCCTGGGTTAAGTTGAGACAGAGTTAACATTCTTCATAATAGCTAGCAAGAGGCTGTGTTTTGGATTTGTGCTCAGAAGAAAGCTGATAAAGAGTGATGTTTATGCCGCTGCCAAGGTCTTTCAGCTTCTCTGGCTGTCTGCAAACAGGAGAAGCTGGGAGGGAGCACAGCCCCAGTTACTAGCCCAGGATTTGATTTTAGGTTTGGGATTGAGACACAGAGTGGCCAATAATCTATTCCATAACATACACGTCATGCCCAGTATACAGGTGAGGACCCTCTGGAAGATCGGCCCTTTTGGTTCCAGATCTCTTTTGCTCTGGGTCGTCCTGCTCCAGGTGGTCGCTCTCCCAAGGCCTCCTCCCCCCTCCCCCACCCTGGTCAGTTCTCCGGTCAGCCCTCAATCTGGGACGCTCGGACTGTTATCTCTGTTCCGTGAGTGCGGTTTCGGGACTCTCCCTGCTCCGGGTTCATTATCCAGGAACAGGCTGAGCCTTGGTAATCGGGTGGGGGGCAGTATCACTGTGTATCACTCATTTGTATATTTGTGTATGGTATTATATTCAGTATTATTGTAGTTTAGTTATTAAATTGTCCTTATCTCAATCAATGAGTCCTTTTTCCCTTTACCCCTTTAATTCTCTCCCCGATCCTCGGATGGGGAGGGGCATTGGGTGAGTGGGAATGTGGTTTAGCCCCCAACCAAGGGCAAACCCATCACATGACTACAGACATCTTAGCTTAAAAGACATTTTAAGAGTTTCATCCAGTCCTTGTAATACATGTGCAATCCCATGGGCTGTATCCAAGGATTATGCTAATTTTATTAGCAACTCCTCTTGCTTTAATTAAACTGCAAATTCCCACCTGGTCACTGTAGTGCCCACACCCTTCTTTTCATTTTTATTTGAATGTATAGATAATCTGTCATTTTGAACATAATTTCTGATTTCCTGAATTATCCATTGTGCTTTCCACATGACATAACAAGATTTTGAGGGGTAAATAGAGTTTTAAAATTGAGTTAAGAGGTTTGAGCAGACATCTGTATCAAAGCAAAGACCTAAGTTTCTAAAGTTGGCCAGGTGGTTGTGGGAGAAGGTTTTCAAAGTAACTTGCTGTCTGAAAGCACCAAGCTATACACTGCTGTTCAAAATACCTGCCAGCAAGCTCTGCATTAACATTTACTTTACTGTGTTTATACCATGAAGGAGAGCAATGTGAATTCCTTAGTGGACTGTTAATTTGCATGTTCTACACTTTCATATATTTCCAAAAGCAAACGTGAAATGATTAGTAATCCATTCACATGCTCACAAAATACTATTAGCAAAATGCCTTGGGCAGTATGTTATGTTGACTAAAATTGATGATTTTGTGTTTTAAAACTAAAGTAACTCCACCTGTCCCCAACAGATCTTAGGACCTTCCCAGAGCCCAGACCTCCTGGGCACACCAGTTCTCAAGGTATATATTGAGCTGAAGAGGGAAAAAGACGAATAAACCCCACAAAAACCTCCCAAGAGCAGCGATCTAAGGCTTGCAGTGATTTGACTCTTCAGAAAGCCTCACTCAAAGTCTTCTGTGGAGTCCTGTGGTTTAAAATGGCTTGTTATCTATAAAATCACCATAAGGAAGCGATTCAGGCATTTACCACTCATCCTACCTACACAGGTTTTAAAGTGCGTATGTTGCTCTGGAGAAAGCAAACCTGGTTCTTCTTTTTACTTCTGCATAGCTTTGTCTCCAGCTGCGTGCAGGTCTGACAGAGCCAAAGACCTGGATGAAATATCTCATACTCCTCAAAGAGTTCTTTTTTTAAAGAGGACCAAAAAACCAAACTGTTTTGTCAATGCATCTCTTTTCTGAATAATGGTTTCCATGCCTTGTAGACTCAAATAAAATGATGTTTCCTCCTAAATGCTAATTATTCTGTCCAGAAGAGTTGCCCAAAAGTGTACTCTTCAGAGTTTCACATCAGACCCATGGGGGGGTATTAAAATTCAATAAGAGCTGTTGTGATATTAAGACTGTATAAAAAAATCTATACGCTAGCTGAGTATTGGTTATATGGCTGCAATGCATTTTTCCAGCAATTTACATTTACAGCTATGAAGTAATTGAATATATGAATGCATCATCATTTTCTTTTTTTAGCACATGGGTGAATTATTTTACCAACATGTGAAGGGGTGTTCATATAACATTGTAGTACTTTGTGCTAGAGAAAAACAATTACAGTGAATAAGGTAGAATGGCTCTGTTATTGCAGTACATAAGACTTTGATTACATACTGCCAGGATTCATACCAGCCTAGTAGTTGTTGACAGATAAAGTAACAAAAATGAAACTCATTTATTTTTTCTTTATTGAGACCTCAAGGTAAAGCAAATTTTCAGTTCTTGTACTTACTACATTGAAGGAACAGAGACTGACAGTCAGAATGTGCCAGTCCAGAAATATAAATTAAACCTAGTTTCATATCAAAGTTTCATTTAGTCTCTGAAAAGGAGCTGCTGTTTGGATTATTTTTGATCCTAAAAGAAATACACTGTAGACTACTGTAGTTTATCTCGGATGAATTAACCCCCTCATACATTCAGTTCTTAAGTATTTTCTAGGATAGAGATCTACATCTACTCAAGAAACTTTAAAATTTGGCATGGATTTAATTATTTCACTTTTTTTATGTTTAGTAATAATTTAATGTGTTTGCAACCCCAGTAAACATGAGGATGGTTTTAACAGAGTGTAGCACTTTTGCTGAAGGAAGCATGTATTTTGAGGAAAAAGCCCTCCCTCTCTCCTTGTGTAAAGAAAATTATTCTGGTTTTTACTGGGAGTTCCTCTAGGCAGTTAAATGCTGCATTATTCCTTGATAAGTCTAACAAATTACTTTTTTTCATAAACTTGATTGGTTTCTAAAGAGCAAATAAAACTAGCTGTTGAAATGGAAAGTGCTAAAATGAGTGTTTTTATCCCATCAAAATCTTGGATTAGTTACCCTACCTAGCCCAAATGAATATAATTGCTGTTCAGTTTAATGAGGCAGTATTCTAGTATCTCCTCTGTAATTAAACACTTCTCTGGTTGAATACAGTATTAAAGATGCACCAGACATTGAAACCTCAGTGGTAAAATTTAAAACTGTTGAAATTGGATGGGTCAGCTGTGAAACACAATTTCTTCTGCAGCTTGGGTAATTTACTTGTAAGATATGTTTCAAGAATAATATGGCTTATCTTGGGGATGCTGGATTTTTAAAATTTTTCTTATCTTTCCATCATCTAAATTTGAGAATTTTTTTCATTAGTTCCTAAGCAAAAGTGACATAGAGCGCACTTGTTTCCAGAATTACCTTTTCTGACCTTTCACAAGATGATAATTGCAGTACTAGTAGGCTTAGAGGACTTGTTAAAAAAATTAAGCTTATAAAGTAGCAAAAAATGCCCCTTTGCTTGCTGGTGTCAATTTCAAAATTAACATTTTGGTTCATGTGCTTCTAATAATCGCTGACCCTTACTTCATGTGCCTTCCGCAGGAAATGAATACAGCAAAAATTGCTTTGACCCATTGATGGATGAGGAAATAAACCCAAGGCAGTGTGGGATGGAGGTCAGTGAAGAAGGTGAGGCAGAATTAAGTATGTAATTTTAGTGTCAGAATATTATTTTCCATTCATGAAAATGAGGTGACAGAGATCACATATGCAGTTCTATTTAAATATTGAGGTTTACAATTTAAATTATAAGCCTTAACTGCTCTGAACACGGTAGGCAGTATACATAGTCTTTGATCAAGGACACAAAGTTAATGGACAGGTAAAAGTGGCGTTGTGCTATATTCAGTTCCCTACTGTAAAAAAATGAAGCACACTCCGAGAACATTGTCTACACCATGTTCTCTAATTAAAAAAGTTAGTCCAGAACTGGGAACTAAGCTGTAGGTCTTTTGCAACCCTGATCCCAAAGTCCTTCTTGGAGAGCAATTTGATTGCTAAGCTGAATGTGTGTTTGCCTAGCAGAAGGAAACCCCAGAGTCCATAAGAAGTTCCCAGCACATGAGGAGGGCCTTTCGGTTCTCTTTTTGCCAGTTTAGCCGAGATGTTTAGCTTTGCTATCTGTGGTCGATAGCGAGAAGTCGGGGAGGGTGTGACTGCAGAGCTGGGAGAGCAGAAGTTATGCGTTGGTATGAGGGAGATTAACCAGGAGGCATTTTCTTGCAGAGAAAGTTCTCTTTTGCTGTCATGGCTTTTAGATAAAAAAGGGTGGGAATGGGCCTGCCTGAATCTGCGTGGGCTTAACAAAGAACATCCTTATGGCGCTGAAGTATTTAGGTATGCACTGAAGGCTTTGGCCCAGCTCCTGTTGTTGAGCACTAACACCTAATAGCACGCAAGACCCAGTTGTCCTGTGTCATCGCCCTAGCCCCTTGCTTTTTTAAAATCTTGTGCTTATTTGTACTACAGAGACTGACTAGATATGCGGTTGTAGTCAAATTTTAAAAAAAATTTCTACTGTAAAGGGTCTCAAAGTACATAGTTTCTGAAATTCATGAGAAACGTGTCAGATATAGAGGTATAAACTTTTGAGGCAAAAACTTGTGTGACTAGGAAAAGCAGGCTCTAATGCATGCCAGTAACTAGAATTTCTGTGTAATGGTGAAAAAAAATCAAGGTTTATCAAGGGTGAATTGTCTCACCCCTATAATTTGTCCATTCATTGTGTAAGACAGCAATGTAATACCTTGGAAGTCAGCTTCTCGCTCAGAGTTTTCAAATGAAAGATTGTTTTCCTGTTGGTACTGCCTTTGTTCATCTTATGAATAGGCTTCATGAGTCATGATGTGCTTCATAACCAGAAAATGAAAAGTGATTAGGTTTCTATAACTGTATTGGTGTGCCTAAAAACATGTATGGATAGTGTGGTGACATAAGGGGTACATGGAAGGACAGTTTCCATCGGGAGAAATACTTTGCTTGTATTGAGGAGGCTGAGTGATACACACTTAACCTTAAATGGTTTTGGTGTGGGTATTTTTTTGTTGTTGTTATGCTGTTTGGTGGTGCTTGGTTGTTTGGTTGTGGGGTTATTTTTTTTTTGTTTGTTTTTTTTGTTTTTTTTTTTTTTTTTTTTTTTTTTTTTTTTTTTTTTTTTTTTTTTTAACAGATGAAACCTCTGAGAAAGTCCATCCAGTTCTGCGGGTGGGGTGGAGAGGTGGTTTTAGGTTTTATTTACCGACATCTCTGCCAAGAGTAAGCCTTCTACCCCGGAGATATTCAAAAGCTGGCAGCTTGGTCCTGGGCAACTTGGCTCTAGGTGGCCTTGCTTGAGCAGGGGGTCTGAACCAGATGACCTCCAGATGTCCCTTCCCACCTCAGCCCAGTCCGATTCGATAATCCTCACAAACCAGTCTCATTGTCTGGTTTCCTTTACCTTGCAGAAGTGTTTAATAAGTGGAACTACATTTGTATGTAGCAGATGGAGTCAAAAGGACAGTCAGAACTGAAGTCTGGTCCTGTGTGGTCATCCCCTGATTGGAAAACATTTTTGTTTACCTTCTCTTTCCAGCTAGCAGCCTGTCACTAACAAGAGACAAAAGCAGAACAAGATGAAGAAATCAGGGCATGCTATAGTTAGACTCTTCTTATGACTTAAGCAAGTCAGGCCCAATGCCCAAAGAGAATAGCTGGTGAAAAGCAAATCTTCAGCCACTAACTCTATTATACAAAGTTAAATATAATTTTAATGTGTTCATCATATGGGATTCTTTAATGGGTTATTTAGTGAAAATGAAGATATTAGCAATTATCTTTTCTATATTTGATAAAATAAATTTGTTCTGGAAATTTGTCTGAGTTGTTAATGCCCTGAGAACAAACACCACCCCACTATGGATTTGCTTCCCCCCTCGCCAAGGGAACATCTCAATGTTACATGCTAAAAGAAATGTGAAAGATTCTGTACTTGCAGAATAGGTTTGCAGAAGCCTTCCTCTGCGAATGCTCAGTGTAACTGAAAAACTTAGCTCTGAAATTTCGTAGTAAAAAAAAAAATATTATTTGAGTTTCTGTTGGGCACTTAAAAAGAGCCACCCAGGGTCGCTTGTAGCTGTACTTCAATTCACCTGCCTTCTATGCATTTGTTTGGTCTTCTGCCTGCCTGTCTTCACTGACAACTTAGAGAAGCCAGGGACTGTGAGATCTGGAGAGAAGACAGTCTCAAATGGTCATTTCTCCCTTGAATATAGACACTTAAAGTGGTTTTTTAGGTTTTATGGAAAAAGGTATGTGTGTCTGTCCTTTGCTCCTTTTAAAAATCTGTAGATTATACTGGGAATTTAAGTGACTGACCAGCCACAAAATCAAAATTCATAGTATACTGTAAATAACTACTCATACTAGATAACGTGTTAGTATTATGGACAGTGAGGTAAAAGTTCTAATAAAGATCCAAAATCACATTAGAAAATAAATTAGGTACTCTGATTTTTATTAAGAGTAAAATAGAATTCATCTGTCAATTTGACTATAAGTAACCATTTCAACTACTCTATTAGCAGAATTAGTAAACTAATTTCAGTCCAGATCAAAGTATAATATTCCTCACCATTTAAAGTATACCATCATGTATTTTTTTAAATTCAAACTGTCTTTCACAACTCACAAGAAAATCACAGTCACCTCTGCTATGAAACTAGCACTATGAAAACTATTTTTAAGTATCAAATGGTTTCTTTTGTATTTTTATATCATTATTTATAGTTTAAAATAGTGTTTCTTGAAATACTACTAGAAGAAACAATAGATGTTTCACTACTGTTTTTTTAAGATCCTGTGGAAGTCGAGAGGCAAATCCTGTATAATAAACTGATGAATCTTCTAGATGAAGAAAACAACATGCTGGACTTGCAAGGTAAATAACAAAGTCACTTGTATAAAGAAAAATAAAAGCCTTTTGAGTCTGGATGCGGGGAGAATGGGTAATCCATCCCCTTGAACTCAGAAGCAAAAGGGACATTGATTTTAATGTGAGCCTGTAAGATATTTTTCCCCAAATGTTTTTGTTTTGAGTCATGTTTATGTGGTTTTAAGTGTAACTTAAGTGGCATGCTTTCTCCAGGCTGCTTCATTGCATGCTGAATTCTAGCCTTATGAAATAAAACTAGAAGTATCATTGCTTATGTGCTCAAAGCTACAGATCTAAATCCTTATTTAAGCTCATAAATGGGTGGACCATTTGTCACACGCATGAGTCATGCTACACAGTGTTTGAGATTATCTGTGTAAGGATTTACACTACCAGGTGAGTAAGAAAATGCTTCCTTGGCTTTGTTAGAAAATACAAATGGATGTTCCATCTACAGTAAAAACAATGGAGCGCAGGAGAAGAGATTTCTTCACCCCAAGCCAACAGCCTTACTTTGGCTTCACTTATTTTCACAGGCATTACTTAACACCCAGTTGATTCACAAGACCATTACAGCCCCAGCCTTGACACAAGGTGCATGTCTGCTGCTCTCCTCTGGTTCATCCTAGGAGAAGTGACACATGAACAAGTGTTGGCTCAGGGTTACTGTTGTATTTTTGGGTATCCCTCCTTCCTTTTTCAGCAGAGGTCTTTTGTATGAAAATATTTGCTGTTCTTTGTATCTCTATGAGGTTTCCTGTTACGTTTCAGTTATACACAAGACTTTGTCAGACAGAGCCGGCAGTTGTGTACAACTTTGGAACTCCAGAAGCTGCAGCATGTTACATGACTATTTCGTTTGTGAGCAACTTTGTTCTAGAAGAGGCGAACATTTAAAATCCCTTGAACTGGCACTGGTCATACCAGTATTATCTTTGAAAACCATTTTGTCTCATTTTAAATGCAAGAAAAAGAAAGTACAACCATCGCAGCTAAATTAATGCAGATAGTTTAAGCATAAACTTTTAAAAATTATTAGCAAGCTCTCTGTTGTTGCATGTTAATGTAGAGCTGTACGTTGCTGAGAAAGACTATAGCAGTGCTTGATGTTGATTGTTGCTTCTATCCTGCAACAACATAGATTAAAATAAAAACAAGTTTGGCCGTGAAGTCAACATTATTTCTATAAGAAAGATTAACAGGCGATGTCTATCTGTTGTACTTAACTAGTCCTTGTATACCAATATTTGTAGCATCTAGTATTCTTCAATAGCTTTATCATCAAAATAACCGTCTATGATGAAGGAAAGTGTCCAGATGTCACTTTACAGGCTGCCCCAGGGTGAGGTCCGTTAGCTTTTTGCAAGTTAGCTTCTGGGGCTCCCCCAAAGTAGTGGGAAAGGGAGAGAGAAGCATCTCTGGACAATTGTTCAACCCACCTCACGCAGACATCTCTTAGCTGATTAGACCATTTGCACCTTGGAAGAAGTTCTTCTCTTTCCTTTGGCTCTAGAAGGGTATTGGACTTAGACTTGAACACTGCATTTTTCATGGCTATAGGTTGGTGAGACAGATTGCACCATGTGTATTTGTCCACTTTTAAGCAAGGGAACCAGGGAGTGAAGGGGAAGCCTTCCCCATCAGTAGTTACTCTCTCCTTCAACTAGGTGCTCTAAAACCTTATGTTACATTACACACAACGTTAATGAATATTGTTAAGATGAACAGTTTTTATAGAGGATAATAGCAAAAAGCATATTTAGAGAGAAATAAGGTTTCACCAATCTCCTCAAATACTTATAATTTAAACTCACCCAGGTATGTTTGAACTAAAAATGTCTTTTTCTCCAACTAGTTTTATCAAACCACCATGCGAGGCAAAATGGTGGTTATTAATGTTTATCTACATGGGGTGTGAGACAGGTTCAAATCTCTCATCCATCCAAAGCTATTTGTGTGTACACGGTGTGCTCTGCGGAGGGAGATCTCACTCTGAGGCTGCTAAGCTGCCAGTCACTAATTCGATTCAGGGGCGAGCAAATGCATTAATGCACGTGTCTCGCACTCCGGGAGCACATCAGGGTCACCCATGTAGGCATGAAGGCAGTGAGTAAGAGGGACACCGCAGCCCAGTGCTGACTCGTATCTTGAGCAGAACCTCAGTGCTTTTATTTCTTAAAAGTACCTTAATGGGTATCGGAGCTAGTCCTGCAGATGAATGTTGCACTTTGTCCTGGCTGAATTTTTTACTTTTCTTGGCTTGGGTGAATAAAATCCGGAAAAGGGCAGGATTTTCCTGAGGATGCGGGGCTTGTGCAGACTCCACCTCTATGTGTGTATAATAGGCTGTTGTTTCTGCCTCTCTGTGTTTCTCCCTCCCCATTTTTGAACCTGTTGTTCACTTTCAAGCCCTTTTTTTTTAAACAGAGAGCAAGTCTCACAGGTCTGACCTCCCTACCAGTTTTATGGAAGTGGGCAGCTGAGCAGAACAGACAAGCATTATTAATGTCTCCACTGAGGGAAAAGCTAATATGGGAGTTTGACCCTTATTAGACATCAGAAAATCCATAGAATATTAGGATTCATTTGGTTCCACTCTTACAGAACTGCTTTTCTTCATTTGACCACTGAGCTGAAAAATCACGTAGTTGTACAGTCCTAATTAATAGATGATCCCCAAAGGAAAGGAAAGAACATGTCTTAGAATTTATATAATTGTATATTTAAAGCATTTTGTCTCTGAGTAACCTGTTGGTACGTGTTAATTCGTAGTAAAAGGCAACATTGGTTGTTTGTGTCTTAGAGAAAAATGTAGACTGTATATATTTACCTGGGGATAAAATCTCTCAAACAGTGTAAGATCATGATCCGTGCACATCTGAAATGATGCTAGATGAATACCACTAAAAAATATTTTCTATTATATTATTCTCTGACAACAGCTGAAGAATTGAAGTGTAACATTTTGCAGCATTTTAATTGTTTGAAACTGATGCTTAAACCTTTGCTATGTACTTTTAAAGCTATAATTTATAAACAGAATCTTCTAGAACCAGGCAGCCAAAATACATTTTCCATGTGGAGTTTATAGCTGCTTTGTACATTCAAACCCACGCTGAGGCGTAGTCTGCCCATGAACCTACCCTTTAAATTCTCATCTCAGTATATAAACCACTGGTATCTGTTGGACAAATGCAGAAGTAAATCAAATTACAAACAGCCAAGTTAATACCGGAGAGCTTATTTTAATTGCAGCACAGCATCTGCAAATACAGCCTGTGCTAAGGAGAAGAAGTGATTTAAACTATGTGGAAAGTATGACTTGCAGTGTTAAGTACAGCCGAGGCAATGAAAAGTTTGATGCAGATGCTAACAACTTGAAGCAGACAGTCTTTAATTACTTTATCAATCTATCAATGGCTTTCCTCATAAATTTTCAGCCATTTTGTTCCACGTGAATAAAGCAGTAACATTTTTAACACCAGGGCTGCTTCTGCACATCAAGGAGGTGGAGGCTTTGTTTCCATCAAGCGTTGCTCTGGGGCAGCAGCTCACGCTTGTAACCTGTGGGGCAGTTCAGACAAGGAACAACCTGATGGTGACCGAGTTTCAGAGGTCTTTTTGTAAAGCCAGCATGGAAGGAATAGACCAGCTGAACAAACCTGTTCTCTCCCTGTCTCTGGCTCAGGCAAATGAAGTTTTTCCAGCTGTGCTTCAGTGAGCATATGTATCTTTTCATCAAATATTTTTCAAATCTGGATTGCAATTTATCTCTGTATTTTTAGCAGTTATTTCCCTCAAAAAGGCTTTTTGAAAATATTATCTCTCTTCTTTTGCTCTTTTTTGCACAAAACATGTGCTAATGAGCCCAGTGTCTTCCACCAAGACTGAGTTCACTCACAAAAATAATAAACATAAACCCCAAAAATGGTATTTTGATGAATCACTGCATGGTTGTCATTGGTTGTCTTTGTGAACTGAATGTTTTTACTCCTTTTTTTTGATATATAAGGACTATCTCTCTACACCCAGAGGATCCCAAGATAGGACTGTACAGTCTTGTACAAATGACAGGGTGTAAATTTGCACTGCTCCTGTGAAAGCAGTAAAGCAGCTGATTTATACCTGCTGAGCATATGGCCCATTGTGTACAACACAGCACCAAGGGGAACAAGCGGTGTTGCATCTTCTGCTGTTGGCAATGCTTCCTTTTCCAGCGCTTCCTGGATTTTCTCTCTGCTAGCCAAACCCTTAATGTTACAGTAAATTTAAATGTAAATATTGTTTTGTTTTTTGCAGTTAATAGTTGTAGGTCAAATCACTTTTCATTAGGCTTGTAAGATGCTACATGAAGAGATTGTGTACCCTAAGGTAATGGTTTTGGTTGTTTATATCTACTGTACACTTCCCCCAACATGATTTTGAATTGTGTCCTGTTGTAATTAAATAAAAAAACCCCACACTTCCTGTGTGTTGGTGGCACTGAGGCGATTTAAGTACTTGGGAGGCTCAACAATTAAAGTCTTGAAACAATGAGGAGTGAGCAAAACTGAAAACCTTAATAGCCTTAGTTTTATCTTTCCTTTTCTGGTCTTCATTAGAGAATGAGACACTTCAAAGGGGAGTGAGGAAAAAAAATACCTTTTAACCGCTTTCATGTCTCAGGATGGACAAAGAGAAAAACAAATAACTAGAAATGGTAGTCTCTTGCAGAGAAAGGCACAGAGAACTATAAAAAACATGCACTTACAGAAATATGAGGCAAGAAATAGAAGGTCAGGTCTAGATAACCTGATATCTGTCGTTTCTTAGTGATCCTAATATGGAGAAATGAGCAAAAATATTAATCTTTGTTATTTAGGACCTAAACTAGTATTAGTACTGTAGCAGATATCAATGAGAAGATCTATTTCTTACATAGCATGATGAATTAAACCGAAAAAAAGGACATAGCTTCACTCTAAGGTCAACTTTATGAATGGGTTTTATTTTCATTTACGTGCAGCATTTTGGTTCTGCATACATCACTGCAGTGAAATCAGGGGAATGATGTGGGTGAGAGCAGAACCGGACCCAGTTAATTACGCAGGAGCTGTGTGCACACACCTTGGGGGAGGAATCTGATCCTCCTGGGCTGAGTGGGAGGAAGATGAAATGCTCAGTGTGGCTCCACCTAAAACTCCTTTTCAATTGCAGTTGTTCCTGCTCTTTCTCAGGAGTGAAAGCTAAAGTCATTCCAAATCCCAATTCCTTTAAGATTTATGGGGGAGAAAAGTGACTGTCAGAAGGGAGAGCATCCCTTTTAAAAATAATTTAAACAACAAGCTGCACGTGCTAAATTTGTCCCTCTGCAGACGTTGCTCTTGGGGAGAGTTTTCCTGGTAATGGCACTTGGAACCTGCCAGATGTTCTACTGCTGTTATTTCTCACTGATCATTTTATGGCATGAATTGTTGTTTTAAAATGTTGGTGGGCCAAACATGTTAGCTGAGAATGTACTAACCAGTGAATGAGCTCCCATTTGCAAAGACATAATCTACCACTTTTGTTTCCAGCAGCCCGTGTCGCCGGTGAAGATTTTCCAGACTCCGTGATGCCTGTCAGCTCCAGTAAGGCACGTGACCTTCACAGGGAGCTTGAAGATGAAGTGATTCCTTCATATATTGAACAGTTCGAGAGAGATGTTCAGGATGACATAATTCTGCTTGGCAGCTTTTCACTGGAACAGGTCAGAGTTAAGAACTATAAGACAATTTTATCGCTTGCTTCATAACGTGATGCTGGCTTGTTAACCTTGTACACTCCAATTCTATTTCACTTCCCGGCGATACATATATTGAAAGGGGAAAAGATAACCCATTTCATTGGCTTGCTTTATGTGACTGGCACTTTGCTAAGCTAACAGCAGGACCTTTATCTTCATCTCCATTTCAATATGAATAAAAATAGATTGTCTTCGTTGCTTCTTCTCTAAATAGTGGAGTGTCTCTGACTGCTATGTGGTAAGTATTGCAATTGAGTTTCAATCAAGAGCCTAAGCTTAGGACATCTTTCTCTGCCAAATTTAACAGAGGCTTATTCATCTATCAATGAGCAAGTTCAGATGGGAGCCCAGGAAGGATTTATGTAACAATATTAATTGTACAGAGGATAAGATTATTCCCAAATTATAATTATTTTGTGTTTTCCAGAGTAGTAAATTTTCTTATGGTTTTGTTTTTGTCATTTTATAGTCTAAGGAGACAAGGTTGGGTTCATGTTGATAAGGGCATGAGTTTTCAGGGCTGAAATTATACTTGTGGACACCTAACTACCATTTGTCCCTTTGAAAAATCTCGTACCAAGACTAGAGGACAGGAAGAGAGATTAATTGATGAATCTATCATTTTTAATTAGCAGCATGAGAACAGCTCTGTCTCTGATGGGCTTAAAATAGGTTATCTAGTGACTGATGGTGATCTAAGCTTTCTTTTATTTTCAGATGAAGTTTTTAGAATTTTTTCATTGCAGGGCTAAGGCTCATCATTGCCTTCTGCATGTTGGTGAGAGACACAATTCTCTTCTTTGCTGTTTCCCTCTAAATCCTTCTGTAGCTGTATTTCTTTCTTCTTGAATTTTTTGTAGCAGTATGCATCATGCATGGAAGATGGTTTGGGGAATATTGTCCAGAGAACATGAAATGGGAAGGAAACATGAGAGAAAAGGACTCAGATGGTGCTAAGAGCCTCACCTGCCTCAGGGGACTGATGGAGTAAGGACCTGGGGACAAGTGAACAGACTATGCTGCATCTTTCCAGAATTTATAATATGTTGAGAGTTTACACTTTAACTAAATTTGGGCTATTTGGATGGCTCTATGGCTCTGTGATACTGGAAGGAACATGATAGATTTGTCAGTCCTTTGTTTACCCTCCCTCTAAACATAATCACTAGAAGCCTGTTTGTCATAGGCTTTTTGAAGGTGTTCAGCAAAGCTTGTTTCCTAGGCAAGAGTAAGCTATCCAGTGATCCTGAAACTACATTCTGCTTTTTAACTGGCAACTGCATGTGAGAATCCACATGTCATACAATATGATATTTACAAAGAAAGAAAATCCTCATTTAATGTGATTGATTGAGTTGGTCTACCATGAGCTTACAGATAGGGACTCAGTACTTTCCACTGCACGGAAGGGGTCATGAATGCCTGTGTTTTCTGTCCCTTCCTTCCACACATCTCTAATTTCGGTTATCCATGCCCTGTTTAGGAATTCAACCATACTGACATGGTATCAGCTCTCACGTCTGCACCCTGCAATGCAGAAGGTAACAGGAGGATCACTGTACGATCTATAGTGGTTTCTTTATCAGTGACATATGTGTCCAGCCTTTCCTTGGAAGCACATGGAAATAGATAGAAAACTGAAGGTGACGTTGGAAGTACGGGCTGCAAACATGCACCTCTTACATCATACTGGTGTTCAAAGACACCTAACAATAATGTGAGCATGCTTATTTTTCTTTAATTGACCTTCTTTATTCTTTAATGTAACATCTTTACTCTTTGATCTGTGGATATACCCCTGCAGCACCGTGGTGTTGATGCCTCTCCACAGCAGCTACAGGTTCAGCATTAGACTTGCTGCCATGGTCTTCAGAATCTGTCACTGTCATCTTTGGGATGCTTTCAGCTTTTATTGTTTGTCTATATATTTATTGGTTTGAAAAAGTCTTTGATTTGCCGCATGACATTTACTACTTCAGAAAAAAACCCCTTCCCTTCCTTCTGCAGGTTTAGTGAGTAGCAGATGTACTTTAGCCAGCATAATTTATGATTAGTTAATTTAATCTGCCATAATGACATAAAGTGAGCCTGAAACAAGCTTCTATCAATTTGGCCGTTAGAGGTAACATAATATTTTCAAATGTCTACCAAACTAAGTAATTAACCCTCAGGCTGAGTAAAGGAGTCTAACAGACATCTCTCTTACATTCTTTTGCTTTGACGAAATGAAAGCAAAACATGGGAGACCAAGGGTTAAAAATAGCAAGTGAGAGTTTACAGTACATGAGACTGGTTTTGTAAGTGAGGTTCAGAAACACACTTGAGTTGCTGCTGTTTTTCTTAGGCTGCCAAAAATTCTCTCCAGTGAGGCATCTGATTTGCACTGGAGCTTTGCTGGCAGCATTGGAATGGAGAGGACAGCTATGTATTAGCTATCTATCCCTTACCTCATTGCTTTTTGTCTCTGCTTTGTAGATTTACAGTAAATGAGTGGTTTTTGTTTAAACAGCAGCTCAGTGCATGAGATCACCATGATTAAAAGTTTTTGAAAGATCAGATGCACTTTCCATAATAATAATAATAACAACAATGATAAAATTTATGCAAGATTTTAGCTCTGGTACTTTAAGCTGTGTCATTGCTTATTTCATGTTCTGCTTCGTAAATGCAAAAGCTGACAGGTGAGGTTGGCAAGAAATACATCAGGGGAGATCTGATAGATTCTTGTAAAGAAAACATTAAGCAGCTGTCAATGTTCTGTTAACAAACACATTAAAGAATATTAAATTTGGAAAGCAGCACTGTTTCCTGTAGCCTACTATGTAGGCCTACAGATTTCAAAAGTCCCAATGACTTTTGCTTTTAATAAGGAAAAGTAGACATTTTTGAGAGAAAATCATAACTTAGGGACTGTGTTGTGGTAGAAGCTAAGCAGGTACAACCAAGGCAGGGTATGCAGAATGCCACAGAAAATCATCTGTCATGAGACAATGCAAGGACACGTGCTTATGGGCAGAACTTGATCTTACAGAACACGGAAACATGCAAAGAAAAACCTGACATAATGCTGGCTTAACATGTTAGATTAAAGGCAAGATGGTTTCAAAACATGAGAGACTGTGCCAAATATGAAGAAAACACTAGTGATTGGGGTGAGATTGCACTTGGTGTGCCTTTGGCAACATAATCTTGCCAGTCATGAATTCAAATTCTGTGGAAAAGTACCAGCTCTAGGATTTTCAGCTGTTTTGAAACTGAGAAATTAAAAGCAATTACTCAAGTTTTATATGGGTTCTCTCAGAATAGATTGTTAGTGGGGCAAGTGTAAGGATCGATACTTTCCCAGAAGTCAGTAACATCTTTCCTGCTTGTCCATCTTCTTCCTGCAACTTGGTCGGTATTCTTAACTAAATGGGATTTGTTCAGAACCTCTGTCTTGCTCAAGAGAATTCATCACTCTGTGCTGGGTGTAACACCTTGCAAGACGTGGTCATTACAACTATCGTATTCAGTTCTGGTCTATGACCTCAATGTGAATTACTCAACAGCCTCTGAAAGTAAAGGGCAAGTTTTGCTCTTCAGTACTGGCAGCTGAGTTATGGTAGTAAGAAATGAGCTGTTTGTTGCAGGTAGCTAGTAATAAAATGTTGCCTTTCATCAAGAGATTTACCTTTTGGTTAAACAAAGATTAATGCCTCTGGGCATTAGACCTAGTATTCTTACAGGGTCAATATCATCACTGCTCTGACTCCTTGCCAAGTCACAGAGAGATCGATTTATATGATGATGGAGCGATCAGTTTTTCCTTGGTTAATGGTGGGTAACACGTGGGTAAAATTTGGTACTATGTAAGATGATGACAAATCTGTCCTCCAACCAGGAATTTAATTAGTGGGATCAAGCCTTGATTATATAAAACACCAATGCACATTTGCTTGCATGTTCTACCCCTTTGGATAATGCTGTTGTTTATATCCTGATGGTACCTGCAGACCTCCTCTCATCAAAGCCGCAGCCTACTAATCATTGTACAATCCTGTGTGATGGTTCTTTGTGAATATATTTGTGCGAATACATGCACCCAAGAGTGATGCAGAACTGAAGGTGACCTTTCCTCAGATGAAACCTGGCTACTCCTTTTTGACATTTGCCAAGATTTGAAATGTCTGTGATGTTCAAAGGAGTAATTTTTTTTGTTTGTTGTACTGAGAATTGCAGGTTAAGAATAGAAAAGATGACAATGTTTCTTTTACACCATTTCTTAAAAGTTGGTGATTTCATTTTAGGTGAGCTACCTATATGCTGCACTCATTATTTGAGTGTCAAAGCATCTCTGCAGTCTATTAGTATAATGGTTTCTGTTTCATTTATGTGATACAGTAGGAATTATGAGTATCTCCATTTTACAGAGGAAGAACAAGAGCACAGAGAGGCTGAACTCTACACCCATCAGAAGTGCTTAACACCTAATGTCATTTTGAAATCTGTCGCTAGGCCAAGCTCTTAGAATTCTTTATAGTCCTGCCAGGTAGACTGCTCCTGGACTGGTGAAAAAGCACTTCACTGAAACCTGTGTTTGAGAGGAATAAATATAAGGTGAACTTCCCAAAGTGTGGGGTATTGGGCTTCCGGCACTTGGACTTCTGATGTCCTGCCTAGTGAGCATCCATGGTCCTCAGATGTGTGTCAGCACCCACCCATCTGGACTCAAAGCCTGACCAAGACCCCAGTACGTGTAGCTAGAGGACTTTTCTACCCAGTAGGCTGGCAACCTGATATTTCTAAGTATCTTTGTCAGGCTTGCTCCTGCTGTCTCAGTGGGAAGCAGGGACACCTCCTGCCTGGGGACACTCCCAGTTTCTAAGGTTCTTCCTCATTTCTTCTGAACACTTGGATATACATGCCTCTTTTTTTTTTTAGAGGTGGGGAAGATGGAATGGGAGTATGGAAATGAGTGTCAACAT